TCTCCCACAAACACTGAGCTTGTGTCTGGCACAGAGCTAAGCTCTAGGGATACACAAATAAGAACAATGCCCCTGCTTACAAACTAGATGTATCTGGACTGTGAAAACATAATGGCCAGCAGGTGCTCAGTCACCTAGGAATAAAGAACTTGCAACACCACACTCTCCGGAGAAAAATGCATTTTCCTGATTTTACATATATGACCTCTGGATCACTGGACTTCCACGTTAGCACAATGGAATCTAAGTACTGCTTAATCCTTACTCTATCCTCTTTGGTTTTTTAAACAGTTGAATGTCAGAAATAGATGTTTCTGTAACATCCACTCATTAGGACAGGAAAATCAGACTGGCTTTGTGGAGGTGGGAAGGAGCACTCCTTCCGAACAATTGAACGGTTCTGGGCTTCACTGTGAAGACTTCTGTTTGAACAAAGACATTTGTATGTGTCACTTTAGAGTTTTAAGATATGGTAAACCCAAAAAAGTAAACATTACAAAATTTACATCCACACAGTTAAGCAAATTCTAAGAAGAGGAAACCTTGGTCGTAGAGAAGGAGAATTTTTATTGCAAAGGAAGATCTAGACAGCAGACTCCTGGTTCTAAAATGAACAACTTCACTTAGAGATGGCAAATAATTTATCCCCTTCCACTTGAGTAATGAGTACTTATTAAACTAGAAATTGTAAATTATTTTGTAATCCTGCACAATCTGGGTGTGATAACACATGCCCATAGTCCCAGCATTTGGGAGACTGAGGCAGGAGGATCGCTGTGAGTTTGAGGCAAGCCTGGGCTACATAGTTCAAGGGCAACCTGAACTATAGGAAGACCCTGTCTCAAAACAAAAAGAGAGGGAGAGAAATCTTGCACACCTCTTAACTATTGTGTGGGTAAGACCAAGAATTCCTGTTTGAAAACAGTAATACCACCCAGTGACAGAAGAGTCAAAAAAATGACAACTCAGCTTCCTCTTAAATTCCTCTTTCCTATGCCACATAATGTACTCAAACTACTGTAATTTGAGAAAAGTATCGTTTACATGTCCTTAATTACTGGAACCACAGTGAGCCTGGGCACCAAGGTGTACTGAATGAAAAGAATTTATCACTAAGCAGTTTTTGGACCTTTATTCCCATCCAAAGTAACTTTTTCTCTCCCCTATCTCCACAGTAACCCAAACCACCGAGCAGATAACTGACCCCGTCACCCACAGGAGTCCTGGCCTCCCGACATGTCTCCGATATGGCTTATTGTTCTTGCAGTACTGGGGATTGAACCCAGATCTTTGTACTCAGCTACACCCCCAGCCCCACTCCCTTTTATTGTTTATCTTGAGAAGTTTCCTAGAGTGGGCCTGAACCTGTGGTACTCTTGCCTTGGCCTTCCCCAGTGCTAGGATTTCAGGCGTGTGCCACCATGCCTGGCTTTCCAAATCTCTTACTCATTCTCCAATCTTTACCTAGCCGTGACTACTGCAAATATGCTATCAATTCCCTTCTTGAAAATCTGTCAGTAGCTGCGGCCAGGGATTTAGTTCAGTGGTCCCATCGCCTGCCTCACAAGTGCAAGGACCCTAGTTCAATTTCTGGTATCAAAAAAAAAAAATTTAAAAATTTTCTAAAAAGCCATGGGTACATGGCTCTTGGGAAAAGATAAAAATCTGGAATCCGTTTCCGGGCTGCCTACTCCCATCCTTTCCTCCTGACTTCCTGTCACAGCATCCCCACCCCGGATCACAGCCACACTGGCCTCTTGGATACTGGAACCCTCAAACTTCTGTCACGTAAGAGGTTCTTCCTGTGTTGTTCCTCGGTCTGGATGACTTACACTTATCTTTTAGATCTTGCCCTAAATTTCTTTGTTTTAAAAAAGACTACCATTAAGCCAGGCATGGTGGTGCTCACCTATAATCACAGCACCCAGGTGGCTGAGACAGGAGGATCACAAGTTCGAGGACAGGTTAGGTGACATAGTGAGAAACTGTCTTTAAAAACACTGTCCCTGAACCTCAACCTCACTTCCAAGTGTCTTCTACCTTAGAGTTCAAACTGAATTTGTGTGAATTAAAGTGGACCCTCAAGTTATGACTGGCCTGACATACGAACAACTTGGGTTACAACCAGAATTTTAGTTTTAACTTACAGCTAAAGGCTTGCCAGGGATTTAGCTCAGTAGTTCCACCACGTGCCTCGCAAGTACAAGGTCCCAAGTTTGACACCCAGTTCAAAAAAAAAAAAAACCCAAAGTCTTGAGTTACGACCCAAACGCTAGTCTAGTCGCTTCTGCTTCCAGATGTTCTCAGACAGATTTAACCCTTAAAGCGTTCTGGAAGTAACATGACAACATCCTTTCCTGTGTGGGATTCACTGAGAAATCCTGGGCCAGTGTCTCTCTAAGGACACTGAGATCTGCCTGTGCACAGGAGAGAGACTTTGAAGGCTGTGGAGAGAAGCCTTGGCCTTCACTGAGCAACCTGAGTTACAACCAGCCCTAGGGAACAAACTGACTTTGTAAGTCAAGGGTCCACTGTGTTTACTGTTTGGCAACAGGCAAACCGTAGACGCCAATGACAGTGACTCTCTTCTACGGTACTGTGCTTTATCTCTAGCACCTATCAAGTGCTGGTATTTAATGAAAACGTACTAACTAAACAAAGTAGGAAATCAAAATATTCATTTTTCAGCTTGGACTGACAGGGCTCTAAATGGACTTCACACCAGCACTGGCAGACTAGTCTTGTGGCTAACCCTGCACCAACTGAAGAGAATTGGCAGTGCACACAGAAGTGAATGCTATCTGAGGTAGCTCTCCTGTTCAACTTCATTTACACAGCACTATACGCACACACACAGCACAACATTCTCAGCAGTTCTTGCTCTTCAGCACCTCTTCAATAGGACATCTGCTAGCTCTCCTATGAATGAACAGATCCAAATTCAACACCCTCCTCCAACCCTTCATCTCAGCATCTCCCCTTGACAGGTCCTCAGGTCCCTATTTTAATCAAAATTTAGGACACCAGTAAAAGCTCAGACACCAGCATGCCCAAACACCTGGAGGACCCCCGACTGCGCCTTCACACGTCTCACGCAGTATCTTTCTTCTTACCTGTGAGCCTCCCAGCCAGAACTCAGGACCCACCCGGTGCAATGCACACATCTGTAGGCCTAGGTAAGGAAAACCACTTGGGCCAGGAGTTTGAGGCCAATGGGCAATAGCAAGAGACCCACTCAACAAAAGTAAATTCTAGTCATGCGCCTACACCTTATTACACCTCTGTATTTTTGTGCCAACAGAAAATTCTGCAAACAGTCCTGAGCCAAATCTAAGATAACTGAAGTTTAATCTGTCCTAGAGAATCCCACTACTGACATGTTAATCCGTCACATAGTAGCGGCCCTAGGAAATAAAACTGGCTTCCTAGTAAGGCCCAGACAGTGGAAGAAACAATGCCATTTACACAAGTGCTCATTAAAAGCTTCCTACCAAGTGGAGACTTTTTGTATTTAAATATTCACAGCGGGGCCGTAATTCCTAGGTCTAACTTAAATTCAATCATTCCCACAGGCTTGAGCCACATACATGACTGTCCCATCAGGCAGCTAGTACCACTTCTCAAGGAGTCTGGTTACAATAAAGCAGACAAAGGTGTTTATTCTGCAGACCAGATTTCATTACACACTTCCTTAAGGAAAACATCATAATGGTATAAAAAATTGCAATATAGCTAGTTTGTGGCACACCAGTTGTAAGTGCCTATTAAATACACAGCAAATGGGGTACTTAAAAGACTCCCATGTTAAAACTTAGAGAATTACTTACCGATAAACTATTCACAAACATAAATCTTTTAATGACATAAATTTGATTATAACAATTGCAGTTGGTATGAATAGTATTAATACTTATATTTGGACTTATCCAAATTTAACGAACTAACTAGACTCAGTCCATTTATAAACTCCATTAATCTTGTTAGTAGAATGACCAAAAAGACTGATCAGGAGTATCTGTACACCACCGGTGATCCAAGCCACCCCCCGCCCCGACAGGACAGTCATGCTCACACCCCAGCAGTTGGAGCTGGCAGGAACGTGGAAAGCCAACCTGCCAGCAGACGCGGACTCCTGAGTCACACCGTCTTCCAGAGCCAGCAGTTCACAGCTATGAAAGACCAAACCTTCATGCAGGTGGTTAAAAGAAACCTTTATTTTACAAAGTTAAAAACATAAATAATATTTACAACATCTTAAATACCAGCTTATAACACTTGACATTTTTTAATCATTTCAAATTGAGTTCCATGAGCTTTTAAAACGTGAGACTACCCACTGTAGCGAGGGACCAGTTTTTATTTTCACCAAAGGATTTTTTTGATTTTTCAAAACTGCCCACTCTGTACTTAGTCAAAGAAAACATCGTACTTTTAAAGTGTCTCACTCTAAAATCAAAGTCCTGAGCTTCCTGCCCTAGTTGTGGGATATTACTCCAAGAGATCTCTCTAAATCAAATTCCCTTACTGTCCTGTGTACAAGTAACCACTAGACTTTTTTTTAAAGACTCACAGACCCGGTACTCATGTTAATCCATCTCCCTAACTCCTTGGGTTTGCTGAAAGGAAAAGCAGGGGAATGAAGACGGAGAAAACGTGCCCATCTAAAGTCATATTTCGGAAAATGCAATAAACAACCCAAAAGCCTCATCCATTTCCTTCCAGATCAAGTCCAGGCTATTTCATTACCTGAAAATTTAAACTGACTTCACATGATGCATAAATGACAGCAAATCTCAGTGGCACAATGGAAAGATCTCAAGACACCACAGTGGTCAACTGAAACCCACTCTGGGGTCTATGATTTAGTGAGCTGTCTAAGCTTCAGCACTGCAATTCATTTCCATATAGCAATGCATAACGAAAGACTGACAAAGGGCTGGGGAGGTAGCTCAGTGGCACAGCGCCTTCCTGGCAAGCACAAGGCCCTGAGTTTCATCCTAGGTACCAAAAATAAAAAAAAAAAAGAGAGACTACCAAAGTGTGAGGAAAGCCAATGTCTTCAAGAAGAGTAAAGGAGGGGGGACTGGGAGCAAAAACTCAGAACCACTTCCCAAGAACACTGTGTTATACCATTTCCTCTGGAAACCCTCAGCTGTAAATCACAATCTTATCAGGATTAGCAACAAATTTAAAAGAAAAAGAATGACAACAGGTAAGAGTTATATACATTTTACTCATTTCTTTCAGACTTGTCCTGGATATCTAAAATAGTGTCACATGAGCCGTGGATGCTGGTGGCAGGAGGCATGGGGCTGAGGAATAGGGAAGACCTGTTTACAAATGCAGAGCAAACTCCCCTCTTCTGGATCTAAAATAAAGACACCTTTTGCCTTCAGTAAAACCGCAGTCTTCCTGCTCCACGCAGATGGCCAGCAGTCTGCTCACAAGCAGCGTCCTCCCTCGGGGAAAGTGAGCACAGGCTCAGGAAGAGCCAGTCCGGGCTCGGCCCGCTGCAGGGCCGGCTGCGATCACTGCTGCATGTTGTTGATGATTGCCAGGATGCTCATCTTCTCCTGGGCAGAGTCCACGTCTTCGTTCTGCTTCTGAGCCACTCCCGTGCCGAGGCCGTAGAGCCGCCCGCAATACTTGGCGTCGTCTATACTGTCCTCAAAAAACAACTGCAGAGCAGGACAAAGAACCGTGGTGAGGACAACACAGGAGTCAGGCCAGGACTGACTGCCGCTGCACACCTCCCAGCGTCAAGGTCCGCAAAGCCTGGCAAACCAGACGCCACCTGAGCAGAGAGAGCCCCAGGCCTTCCTATGTAACGGTCATCTTCTCACGCTCCTTTTTCCAAATAGAAGCTGCTTCCTAACCAGACTCAGACTTTTTACTGTGCAGCTGCTGTTTGGTACAACTGCCCTTTTCCTTCATAAGCAAGGCACTGGTTAAGAGCTCAGGCGCTTCTGACTCACTGCGTGACACCGGTAGTCACTTTAGCTCTGCTGGAGGGTCCTTATGTGTCCCTTTTAAAGATTCCTTGTAGAAAACACGTGATGATATAATAACAGGATTGTTACGAGGGATGAGATAATGAATATTAAGCACAGAGAAGTTGGGGGGGCACACACCTGTAATCCCAGAACTCTGGGAGGCTGAGACAGGAGGATCACGATTTGAGCCCAACCTGGGCAACTCAGTGTTTTAGGGAGAACTAATCTCAAAGTAAGAAATAAAAAGGGCTGGGGATATAGCACAGTGTGAAAGACCTGGGCTCAATCCCAGGTACAGCAAAAAAGCACTTCCTGCAGGTTTTCCAGCCTTGGCACTCTTGGGCATGCCAATTTTTTGTCTGTCTGTCTGGTAAGCCGAGCACGGGAACTCTACATGGCGGGGGCTGCCAGTATATCACAGAGAGTTTAGCAGCAGCCTGGCCAACAGCACACCATCCTCCCCGACCAAAATGTGATACACAGAACATCTCTAGACATTCCCAAGTATACAACGGGGAGCAAAACCACAGAGACGTGAGAACCACTGTCTTAAGATACTTCTGTTACGGTCTGGACTTTGAATGTCCGCCAGGGCCAAGTGCTGAAGATCACCAGCCTGGGGCACTGCTGAACAGAGGCAGAACCTTTACGAGATGGGCGCAAGAGTGAGGCTTGCGGGCGGTGCCTGCAGGGAGATCCTGGGGCCCCAGCTCCTTCACATTTGCTTCCCTGCTGCCACAAGGTGAAGAGAGATCCTCCTCCATTTGCTTTGCTCCCTACCGTGATGTTGTGGAGCCCACTAACTGCAGGCTCGAACCTTGACACTCAGAGCCAAAATAAACTTATCCTCCTTTTAAGTTGACTGTCTCAGCCAGGTATTTTATCACAGTGGAAGAAAACTGACACAGAAAACTGGTTATCAAGAAGTCGGCGCCCGGGTATTGAGCTGAGTGGTTCCACCGCCTGCCTCTCAAGTGTAAGGGCCGGAGTTTGATTCTCGGGACCAAAAAAAAAAAAAAAGAGAGAGAAGAAGAAGTTGGGTCACTGCTGTAACCATTCCTGACAATGCGGTGCAGAAGCACTGGGACTGGTCTGTGAGAGGAGCTCAGAAGGTGGGTGGAAGGCTGGACAGAGCCTAGAGCAGTACTAGAAGCAGAGTAATGGTGGGAGCTCAGCCGAACAGAATGCGGCTGAGAAAGCAGATAATGAAGGCTGCAATGCAAAGGAGGACTGCTGGGAACTCAATGAGAGGTCATTCGTGTTGTATTCTATCAGAGAACTTGTCCACATTTTGAGCATGCACTGAAACTCAGGGGGAGGCTGAGTTTAACACACTCCCACTGGCTCGAACCACCAGTGCTCCATGCATGACTGGCCCATCAGGCAGCTGGTATCGCACAGTGGGACTGCCCCATGCCACTCAATGGGACAGTCACATAATTGCATGGAGGGAATTCAACAAGTTCAAATCAGAGCTGCCCAGCAGTGTGACAAATCACACCCCCGTGTGAACATGTGAAGGTGAGGGACTAGTCTATCTGCCAGAGGACACTTCAAGGCAGCAGAGCTTTCAGGCAGGGGTATGGGTATTGCTGACTGCTCTCAGCCACAGCTACAGAGAGAACCTGAAGCAAAAATCAAAGTGCAAGGAACACTTGAAAAACTTGAAAAACTTGCAATTTGGCCAGAAAAGCAGCACCTTGAAAGTTAAGACAAAGGAGGAGGATGGAGGAAGCTGGTGATAAAGAGATCAATACCATTAAAAAGAAGCCAAGTACCAGCCAGTAGGAAAGACGTCTTCCAGGCATCTCAGGATCCAGCAGGCTCAAAGACCGGTCAGAGAAGAGAGCACCAGGGTGCCTGCACACAGGGCTGCCTGGGAATTGCCTCTTCTTCCCTGTGCTCAGCCCTCAGGCATTCAGAGGCCAAGACACCCAGACACCACTGCAGCCATGGTTCCAGAAGACCAAGTACAGGTACAGGGCCAGGGATTTAGCTCAGTGGTTCCGCTGCCTGCCTCGAGAGCACAAGGTCCCGAGTTCCATTGCCAGTACCAAAAAGATAAAAAAAAAAAAAAAAAAAAAAAAAAAAAAAAAAA